GAAATAGAAAATCGATATAAATCTTTCTGACGTACGATTTCAAGTGTGTGTTTCATCGAACGCATTATGCACGTTTACGCAATTGGTTTTTGCGATCGACACATGATCGTACACATCCTCGGTAACGGTTGCAATAAAGTTTCCATAAATAATTCGCTCGACGTACGTTCGACGTGTTTCAAAGTTAATTGTAGATGATCTCACTCAACGATATCCTTTCGTATCTTTTTTTAATTATGCTAATCGTGTTTTAAAGAAGATTACAAATGGTGGAATTAGAATATGATCGGTTACATATATACGTATCGGTATATATACATACGTACGTTACATAAATAAATAAAATACATTCATCTGTTTATAAAACGAGTCTATCATATTATTTCGAAAGATGTGTATATTTTTTTAAAGAAAATTTTGATTGATCACCATGATCACCGAGAAGAGATTTTACGAGGCATAGTTAAAAAACAATCCAGGAACACCTGTATAACCAGATTGTCTCAGTACATGCATTTCGCCCTGTTAACTTTTTTTTTCCATCTTCGTCCAAATCACGTCAATGTAATACTTATTAAATTAATAATCGTCAAATGTATTTCTTGGTACACTATACGTTCTATGGAAACCGATTTTTACTTGTTGTAATTCTCTAAGTAATATCTAGAAACGTTAGCACGAGGGAAACAATCATTATCTTTTTTACTCGATGTTCCTGAAAACGAAGATTTTAAGAAGTAAAGTGAAAAGATGTCCTGGAACGTTTTCTAAAGAAAATCCAATCGTTAGATCGTTTTCCTTTTCTTTTTTATTTTTGTTTACATACTCGGAACAATATATCAAGTTATATTCGACGTAGAACTTTGAGTAATATTATACGTATTTAGATTGTCATGATTGCATCGTAGATAAAGTCGTTACTAAAATTCTAATCTCTCTCTCTCCCTCTCTCTCTTTCTCTCTATTTCTATGGCCAGCCAAGGAACGCGTCCTCGTCTCTTCTGGCGCACGTTCGTACGCGCACGTAACACACACGTAGCACAAGTAGCGGTAGGAGGAGTAGTGACATAACCTTTTGTCAACCGATTAACCCCTGATCTCACGATACGACGAGCTCTGTCACGATCTGGGAAACACCTGATGTTATTTTCTACGTCACTTTCTCTCTCTCTCTCTCTCTCTCTTCCTCTCTTTCTCTCTCTCTTCCTCTCTTTCTCTCTCTCTTTCTCTCTCTCTCTCTCTCTCTCTCTCTCTCTCTCTCTCTCTCTCTCTCTCTCTCTCTGTGTTTATCTATCTTTCTGTCTCTCGTTTGTTCGCTTTTTTCATTGTCGATCTGTGTTGGGATACGTTTTACAATGTCATCAGACATACAAAGGTTAAGGTGAAACAAGAGTGTATCTACATATGCGATTTTCTGAAACTGTTATATCATTTTCTCTCACGTTTCTACGATATATTTTATATCTTTTAAATTTTATTTTATTTTTTTTTTTCGTTTTCTTTTCTTCTTTTTTCTTTTTCTTTTTTTTCGCGAAACTCTTAGTAAGATTATTTATCGATTTTTTAAAATAACTTTTATCCACAATTATGAAAATTTCTTTTCTCAAATCTGTTCGGGATTATACATACATATTTATGTATCTATGTATAAATAATAATAATTAGTATTGTATAACGTTAACTGATATGATACATTCATTCATTCATTCGTCGATTTATTATATCTTATAATATTATTTATCATATATTTATAATTATTTTTATCACATGATTAGATCTCTGTATAGTCAATTCAGAAAATGTGAACTTGTTTTTCTTTCTCTCTTTCTCTCTCTTTTTCATAGTATGAAAATACAAATTCGTATATATTAAAGGTAAGGTCACATTTGTTAGTTTCAATCTAGATTGAAGAGCCTTTAATGATTTTTAATTTCTGGGGACTTCTAAATAATATTGCCGGATTGTGAAGTAATTAGGAAAATAAAAGGTAACCTTCGTTATAAATCTGATCCGGTGTATTAAATAGATATATATCGTATTTTTTATTGACTCAGTCCACGAAGGTCCACTATACTGTTCGGATAAACGGCACCGGATTCTCTTATCAATTATGCAGTTGAAATTTTTTACGAGCTCGAACTAAACGCATTAATTTAGATACCGAAAATATCAATCAACTTTTAATCACGTAACATGCTAATGCTAAATGTCGAATAATCTTAAATTTGTCTTACATTATAATTTATAATGACAGAGAAGGATAATAAATATTCGAAAAGATTAAAAATTATTATTAAGTTAAACTTATATGTACATTATAATTTATATTGACATTTATATATACACACACATAAATACGTACATGCATATATATATATATATATATATATATATATATATATATGTATATATACATACATGTATATATATATTTATTATAAGTTATAATAATATAATGGATATTGTTTTTTTCTTCTTCTTTTTTTTCTTCTATTTTGTTTTTCTCATTAAAAGATCCGAGGAACGTTTCGTAAATCGATAGGAAACTCGAAAAGGGTCGAAAGTCGATTATGTGAGAACGATTCGACCTCGAATCGAATTCAAATTACGCTTCCTGGCTTCTCTTCTCTTCTCACTCTTCTCTTTCTCTGTCCCTCTCTCTCGTTCTCTCTTTCAGCTTCCCTGTGCGGCGGCTCTCTGCGGTCACGGAATACCACCCTTGGTATCGGGATTACACGGTAGTGCCCCGTTAATAGTTGGTTACGTCTTTATCCTCAAAAATTGCTCAGCATACCCGCAGCTCGCGATATCCAGCCACGCGCCGATAAAATATTCGATGTTTACGCTTTCTCCTCTCTCTCCTCTATCTCTTTTTCTCTTTCCTTCTTTCCCCCCTTTCTTTCTTTCTTTCTTTCTCTCTCTTTCTCTTTCTATTTGTAGCACTGTTTTATTATCTCAACTATCGATAAATGATACATATTTATTTGGACTTTGAAATGTTTTTTAAACTATGTCATGTTGTTGAAATTTACATTGATTTAATGAAGTAGAGTGATTAGAAAAATTGTGAAACATTTCGGTATATTTATTTATTAGTTTGTGTTTTGCTCGTGTTTGTACCTCACAGGATCATCAAATATGTTAAAATGTCATTATCATAAGCATTATTACGTATATCAGTTGATTTTTATTCGGTGACATGTTTTATCTGAAAAATGTCGCGTTGCCGGTAAACGCATTTACGCGACACTTTTACTACGACGATAAAATAACACCAATCATCGATAAAAAGGTCCACGTGTAAGTCCTACATGTGATCTATTCCAGCTCTCTCTCTCTGTCTCTGCTCCCCCCCCTCTTTCTTTCTTTCTCTCTCTTTCTCTATTATGGGTATAAATGTTCTTTATTTGACTTAGTTAGTTATAATAAAGGGATTTTAAGCGATGAGACCGGACATATTCCTGTAAAAGTTTTAAAATGGAGAACGAGACATTACTGGAGTTCGAATTTATGTCACTCGTTTAATTTCCCTTCTGAATTCCTGTTTTCTAGTAGGAGGACACCCTATGATAGAGGTATATAAAGTTAGAGCTCTTCTTTCTGTCCCTCTACTTCCTTTCCTCCCTCCCCCTATCCTACTCCAACCCTCCCATCAAAGACACCTAGCTACATATATTTTATCGTCTCTTTCTCTCTTCTCAAAGATCTTTTTCTTTTTTGACACACAGAGAGATACATAGATCAAAACTATGTACATAGTTATATACGTGTCTACTATACGTAGTTGTGTTGTACCCCAGAAGCGGGAGCACTGGTATGGCGTTCCGTATAGGAGGTTTACCTATATTTAGACCGATAAAAATACCATCGCGCCTCCCGCATGACGGCCTCCTGGCCCGCCATTCCCGATTTAAACTTATACCGACTCCGACCGAACCACAGAATCTTCTTCTCTACTTCTGCCTTCGTAGTCTTCATAGTCTTCGTTGCTGCTTATGCTTCTACTGCTTCTGATGTTGATGCTGATGCTGATGTTGATGCTGATGCTGCTTCTGCTACTTCTGCTTCTGATGCTGGTACTGCAGCTGCTGGAGCTGGTGTTGGTGTTGCTGCTGTTGCTGGTGTTGGTGCTGGTGCTAACGTCGCACCTCGGTGACCGTAAATTCGTAGAAACAAATAGCCTCTCCGACTTGAAACGACGATCAATTATTCGAGCTCGTAGAATTTCTCTCATGGAGTTTAAGAGACGATGAACGGGCTTCCTCGTTAAGAATCCCGCCTTCGATCATTTCTTTGATAAAGTTATGATTTTCTTTTCTTTTTATTTTTTTGTTTTTTGTTTTTTATTTTTTTTTTTCTTTTATTTATTATCTCGTTAAGTTCATTAAGAAATTTGATAATATTATTAATTTAGATTAGAAGCGATGTGTAATATGAAGATATTGAAGATTACATATATGGTATTTTTGTATAACAGCTATGATGACGAAGAGGAGCGTGCGATAATTATTCTTAAGAACAGACGTCCTCCATTGCTGATTATGTTACTTTAAAATGAAAAAAGAGAGAAAGAGAGAGAGGAAAAATATAGTTTTCAATACGCGTGGAGCCATACGATCGAACAATGATCTCCTTTATCCGCTCGCATTCATCCGATCTTCATCAATTAAGATTATTCGCGTTGCGATGATTATCGGATTGAAAGCTGTCCCTTCTTGGATCAAGAAAGAATCTAGGAATTTCTTCTTTTTTTTTTTTTTTTTTTTTTTTTTTTTTTTTTTTTTTTTTTTTTTTTTTTTTTTTTTTTTTTTTTTTTTTTTTTTTTTTTTTTTTATACAGAATTTATTGATGTATTAATTTATTGATATATTATAAAGGTGAGATAGAGAAGGAATGTGATTTCATAAACGAACGAACGAACGAACAATAGAAACAAAAAAAGAGAAAGAACGAACAATGCGAAATAACTTTTTTGTTTTGTTTCTCTTTTTTTTTTTTTC